CCGCGCTTCTCTCCCGCGCCTCTCGGTGCAGAGCCGTCCTTCCACAGCCGTGGATCTGGTCACGTTGCCGCCACTTTCTTCCTTCTGTGTCCAGCCGGTAGCGGGTAGCGCCTCGATCCTTCTGCCCCACCCCGCCCCGCCCCGCCCCGATCTTCCGCTTCCTTTCCCTTTCCGCGTCAAAACGAGGCCATCTGCCGATTTATGAATTACCGGCACTCGTCCCGCGGGGGCGGGGCACAGTAGTGTGGTGCATTGTTGATCGCTCCACCGGACCGCACTCCGATGGGTGTTTGCACAGCGGCGGGCGTGACGCTGACGCGGGAGCGCTCCAGGATCAGGATGACGTGCACCGAGCGTGATCCGCCACGGCATAGAGTCACGGCGCGGCGCCGCCGTCCCGAACGATCCCGGTCGTCGCTCCATTCATCTTTCGGACCCCTCCCTCCCCCTCCTGTCTGAATCCACATTTTAGTTCCGTCGGGCGTAAAGTTGGGGAACTCTGGATCCGGGCTTACGTCGAGAAGGGACGTTGAACGATTTCTATTCGTTTCCTCTGCCCACAAAAATAATGCATATGAATGGCAATAAACATTGTTGGCACTTACCCCACAGGTCGTGGCAAGAAGAAGAAGAAGAAGATCCATAAGCTGATCGCACTCGTCAAGCTGGTGCTCCTGGTGCTCGTGGTTAAGCTCAAGCTCGCCTTCCTCATGATGGCCCTGCAGACGCTGTTCCAGTTCAAGATCATGGTCATGGTCTTCCTCATACTCATCACCAAGAAGATCGCCCTCTGGGCTCAGCTGAAGCACGCCAAGCTCGGCAACGACGAACAGAAGGTAAGGGACGCTGGTGACCTCCATGGTGACCTCCATGGTGACCACCGCAGGCAGCAGAAAAACCGGGCCGCGCAACGGCGAGTAATAAGTTAAACCGTCAATCAAAAACATATAACAAAAATATTTTTTTTCAAATGACAGTAAGTAGTAAGTCCTGAGGTACAAACTCCTTAAGTCTAGAGTAGTGACTATATAGCTCTCAAAACAGGTGATCGTTCAGCACCATGGGCACAGCAGCAGATCCCTCGGCATTGCCCCCGGACACGAGGTCCAAGAGCAGGTCCGTCAGTTCCAGCTGGAGCATGCGGCTGGCATGGGCATGGCGCAGCATGGTCTGAACTGAACTCTTGTCTCGTAGTGCTGCCCTCTGATTTTCGGGATCACCCAGAAAGTGCGTCCGTCAGTCGACTTCATTACGAACCTCGCAAGTTCGGCATCTGCGAGCTGTTATAGAGGAATATGTGAATCCACAGTCCGCATCGATCTCACGGTGCCAGCCGACACTGTCTGGTCATCGTCCGGACATGGTCGTTCACCGGCAATGCCTGGCCGATGTCATAGCGCCTTGTAGGTAGGCAACATCTTGCCTTCAGTGCATGCGTGCACTGCGGGGCGGCCTACCCGGAGTCTCGCAGGCGCTGAGCTGCCGAGCTGCAGTGATTTTCCCGAATGAAGCTGAGAAAAATGGATATACTTTCTGGAAGATCCCTTACCCCCGAGTGAGAGTGCAAGGTGCAGGCACCGGGGGCTGCGCTGCGCGCCTCCTGAGGGGCCTTGGGGGTAGGCAACCTCCCCGACACCAGTGCGGCGGTGCCGACCCACTGGTCTACCTCACGGGCTGCAGGCGCGCAGCCTACAGCGGAGTGGAGCCCTCTTACATAGTAGGCGACGGATTCTTGACCTTCCTCATTACTTCTATTTAGTTTTCAATCGACCGTACTATTATTTTGCCGGGGGTGTTCGTATGGTTCAGAGCTCGCGCATGATGTAAGCGTCGTTCGCAGATGCATGAGTATGAGTACCTTTACGTCCGCAGCATGACCTGTATGGATACCCAGGTTGTTTTCATCGGTTTGATCCATGCACTCCGGGTGGTAGATTTCGGTCCTCCTCTTCCCTTCTGCACGTAGATTGTTGTGAACCCGGAGCGAGCCCCTGCCTGCCTGTCATTCCCTCTGTTTGTGACGCACCCCTCTGTGTGCGGCAGGTCATCTACTACGAGCACGCCCAACACCAGCACCACTACGAGGAGCCACACAGCGGCTGGAGTGGCGGCCACGACGAGCACGCGGACACGGGCCACAGCAGCGGCGGCAGCGGCGGCTGGGGGCTGTGGGGCCGCAGCTACGAGACGGCGCAGCCGGGCGCGGCCGCGGCGGCCAGCGGCGCCGTGCAGAGCGGCGTGTACCGGGCTGCCGACGGCACCAGGATAGTGGTCCGCCAGCCGGACGCGCACGACCTCGCGTACACGGCGCAGCGGCCGTGACACGTACCCCATCGCGTGTAGAATAGAGTAAATTATTATCAACGCGATTATTGCTTACAACAGATCCGCGTGGGGTGTCGCGTAAAGAAAATTTGTGGTGACTTTCAAATAATTGGTTTTGTTCTGATTCAATCTCCGTCGGTGTCGTGTTGGAGTGGCCATAGTCAAAAACATTGTCACCATCGTGGACAGAAGAAAAGCTCTCACTGGGGCGTGGTCGATCTCATAAATGTGCCTCCCCCAGTGGATCTTTTCTTATCCATTCGAAGAAACATAAATTAGATTAATTTGCTCGAGTGAGCCATTAATAGTTATCTAATTATTTCTGCCTGACAGGTTTTCAGGTACATTATGCTCTACAGAACTTGTGACATTATTTATTTGGCATGATAAATATCAAAGAATCTGGTTGAGAAGACCATTTCTGTATATATTTTTTGTTGTATAGTAATTTATTGTTTCCTGTGTAAATGTGCATGACTAATTTATTTGTGTGTGAGAGTGTAACTTATTTAATAAAAATACATGAAATGAACAAAGATATTTTTTTAAAAAATTTGGTTTTGCTGTTTAGGGGGCTGCTGGCAGAGTCTGAAAAATGTGGCTGCTGAGCTGGGGGCTGGGACAACACAAATATACAACATAGATGTTTATTTTGAACTGCAATTTTATTGCTGTCATCTTTTAAAATATGGCTAAAGGAACACTACAAAAAATACAGACATTAATACAGCACTTCTGAATTTGAAAATGTTCCACACTGTACATAAAAAATTACGTACAGTATCACCACAGACTAGTTTTCAATCACACAATGATCTAGAGAAAGGACTTTATTTTAAAATGCTTTGATTCTGTTCATCCTCTGATAATTAATATCTTTGCCCAGCAAAGATATAAATATAGAATTTTAAGATTTGTACCATTATGGTAGAGATATAATAATGTAAAAATTCCATTTGAAACCTAGCAAGAAACAACCGAACTACCCATGATTGAGATTAGAAGTGTAATGAAGACATTACAAGGCATCTAAACTTCTACATCTTGATCATTATATTGTCACTACACATTTTTCATAAAAATAAGAACAAGGTGAATTGTGATAAATGTGATACATGGCAAAACAAATATTTACAAGCACACTAACATCAAAACTTCATTTGAAAAGAAAAATAATACTATGAGAAAAGTTATGTACACATTATACACAGGATGGGTTGCGGATCCCGGCACATTTTGTGTTTGTACTGTACTGCATGCAGAATGGATTGCCTACTCGTTTGGGGCCGTAAGGCGTCGCGCCATCCGAATAGGTGGGCAAATCTGCTCCTCCGCTTTGTCGTCTGATGCGGGACACTATGTGCACAAAATGTTCAGGGGTCCCAGGGGCCTGGGCCACCCTGTATACAGACATAAGTAGAAACATGCTAATGAAAATGACTAGATACAATGACTTTGAATCACATACTGTGCTATGTCAAAACTAGAGTTAAACCCAAATTTGTACTATTTGTGGACTAGAATTATAACAACAAGCTAAAAATTGTATTTTAAAAAAGGACGATCTGGAGACAGGACTATTTAGTCCCTTAATTGATTTACAAAAGGTCAAAAATGTTTACTCTGATATATCAAGAGCTGAGTTTGCAACAAGATTTGCATCAGTGTTTAAGCGTTCTTTTAATGCTGGTTTTTCAGATGTTGCTGCCTGCCAAACAATCTCTAGACTCTCTTCCGTTTTGCTGTTGGATAAAAAAAAAATCACTGTAATAGGGATGATTTTCCAAACACCTTTCAATACTTTGAAATGTTAGCTCACCACTTGTCTCGCTGTAAACGTGCAATGAACTGTTCTTTTTGCCGAAGAATTCCTCTAAGCTGTTGCACCTCTTGGTCCAAGAGCAGGTCCGTCAGTTCCAGCTGGAGCATGCGGCTGGCATGGGCATGGCGCAGCATGGTCTGAACTGAACTCTTGTCTCGTAGTGCT